GGAAAACCCATCAGAATCACGGCAGACTTGTCAGCACAAAGCATCCAGTCAAGGAGAGGTTGGAGGGAAGTGTTTCAAACCCTCAAAGAAAACAACTTCCAACCCAGATTGATGTACCTTGAAAAACTATCTTTCAAAGTTGATGGAAAAAAGATACTTCCATGATAAAGAACACCTGAAGGAATTCATGACTACCAAACCAACCCTACAGAGAGTGCTGAAGAATATTCTAGAGGGAGATAAAGCATGATTCAAGGAACAGCAGCAGAGGAGGATCCCTAGACAAGACAGGCAACTGAATGAAGGGAAAAGTGGGGGGCCAATAGCAGGAGGACAGCAGGGCAGAGGCAGACCAGTGTGTGCTGGTTGTAACCATTAATGTAGATGGCCTCAGATCAGCAATAAAAAGAAACACAGGGAGAGGGCATCAGGAATCAAGATCCATTGATATGCTCTATATAAGAAACACATCTAACTGGAAAGGAAATTCATAGACTGAAAATCAAAGGAGAGAAAACAATTGTTCCATGTGACAGGAGACCAAAACAAACAAACAAAAAAAAAACACAAACAAAAACCAAGAGTAACTTTCCCATTAACTACAGAATGCATAAGAAAGATATGGTATTATTAGGCAGTGGAAAGCTTCCCAGCAATAAAGTAGAATAATCTCAGGGCTCCTGTAGGTAAATGGACGCAACTGGAGATCATGTTCATGGCCAAAACAGTTCGAACTCACACGCGTGACCCCGAGCATAAGAAACAGAAGGAGGTGGTGGTATCCAAAAGCAAATGGAGGAAACCCCTGGGAGGGAAACGTGCAAACTACTGGTAATTTCTTACTGTCTTGTCTTGAACTCTTGCATTGTTTACACCATTTTGCTAGGTTTGGCTTTGTTCTGTCTTGTTTTGTTAGGCTTTACACTGTGTGATGGTAGGGGCAGCTATTTTAAATATAAAGGGATAAAGTACGGTAATCTTAGTTTCCTATTATTATGCTGTGAAGCCTGATAACACTTTCATTCATTTGTTTAATTGGTTTTATTCTGTTTTGTTTGATTTTTTTATGTGTGATGGTATGAACACCTATTCTGAAGAAAATGAGACATTTTGACAGCCACTGCTGATTTCCTGTCATCTTATTTCAAAGTCCTACCATGCTTTGTACTTTTGTTTTGATTGGTTCTATCTTGTTGTGTTTGATTTTATTATGTGTGACGGTATGGACAACTTTTAAGGAAAATGAGATATTGTAGTAACCATTGTTCATTTCCTGTTATCTGGTTTTGCAGTCCTGTAATGCTTTCATCCTTTTGAATGGTTTTATACTATTTTGTTTGCTATTATTGTGTGTGAAGGCATGGTCAACTATTTCAAAGAAACCAAAAGACATTATAGTAGCCACTGTTGGTGACCTGTTGTCTGGTTGTGAAGCTTGGTATTGCTTGCATTGTTCTGTTCTGATTTGTTTTCTTTTATTTTATTCTCTTTAAAATAAAAAAATGAGAATCTGCATTTAAACAAAATTCCCACACAAATCCTCTGCACACTGAACCTGGAAGAGTCTTGATTAGTACGGGATCTCCTGGGGTCCTTTCTCCTTCTGCTTGTGCTGGGCGTTGGTGGGGGACACTGTCCTGTGCTCTGTCCAATGCTGAGCAGCGTCCTTGGTCTCCACTCTCATGGCGCCAGATGGACCTCCCTCCAGGGGACAAGGGGGTTTCTCAAAGTATTCCCAAGTGTTCTTTGGAGAGAAAATCATTCTGGTCATGGAGCACAGTTTAGGGCATGAGAGCTGGGAATATCTGGAGAGGTTCCAATGAGAGCCCATCGGTTTACCATTTGTTACTTTTGACAGATCCACATAGACCCTGTAAGCCCAAGAGCTGCAAAGTTAGAAAAAGGTTCTTAGTGGTAGTGGCCACTAGAATGGACATTTATAAAACTTAAATGATGTCATGATCAATTGCATTATCAAGGAAGTGTGGCTAAAAGTCTGAAAATTGCTTATAATTGCCACACACTTGATAAGCGATTTTCTTCTCTACTGAATATGTTGTAAGCTGTGGAAGACATGAACTTGTCCTTGGGAAAAATGGAAGCTTCGGTGATGTCGGACAGGCTCCTTGATTTTAGACTTTGACTGGAACCCACACACAGGATTGGGACAAGATGTAACTTTAGACCTCTCAAAAGCGAGAGAGTTTACGGCAAAGGGGGAGTGAAGTCTGCATTCACCTCGATTTTACACCTGAGCTCTTGTCACAAAGCATCTTCAGAGAACATTTTCTGTGCGGAGCAGCATCCCACGGGGGTTGGAATGACTAGAGGGAATTTGCTGATGCCCAAGGGAGAATCTGCTGGGAGACAGGAACATCTCCTGCGCTGACCGTCTTGCAGAATGTGCAGCCCTGAGCGGGCAGGGTGCTTTTCTAAACGGATTGTCCTGGTTTGGGGATCTAGGCTTCACTTTTGTGTCTTTCTTGTCTGGGGCCAGAGCTTCAGTCTCCATCTCCAGGTCTCCAGCCTGTGTCCGAAGTAAAGGGTAATTGCTGACCTTTAAGAATAGGCGTGGAAGCTGAATTAAAAGTGGGATGGAAGAAATAAGGAGGCTCCAGTTTACTGTGAGAATATGTCCGGAGGTCCCTGCCATCCCTGGAGTGTAGACACAGGCCATCAGCTGTGCCGGGACAGAGTCTGACGTGTGCTGTGTCTCCTCGTGTTTATGATGGACACTGTAGGCTGTGTTTCTATTTGCAGCAGCTTTGCATCAGAGAGTTCTGGACCAGAGTTATCCTTGAAGATCCAACCTGGCAGTACCAGTACAGGAGGTACTGTCCACATTTTCAGTTATTTCCCTCATGTGAGAAGTCAGATGAGAACCTTTAGTAGATTAAAAAGGATATTGTAGTAATAAACTTTGCTGGAAGTTATTTTCTTGCTGCTGACTCTGAATGTATTTGTGGGTTTGTTAGCAATTCCCTGTATAGCAGACTGTCCATGTAAAATCTTCGCTTTTGCACAGTGAGGTGTGTGTGGGGGGGGGTGAGTACTCTTTTTAATGACGCTTCTGTTTTTATTTTATGAAAAACTAAAATTCATAACAAAATGATTTTAGGATAACAATAGTCAGTATACTACGTGCTATATTTTCAGTTATTCAGGGCAGAAGGTGTAAACCAAAGAGAGTCTTACAAAAAAAGGAACAAACAGAGAATACCACAACTACATTTCTCTACACATAGGAATTGGGGATTTTTACCACCTTCACTGTTTGCCATTTAGCTTTTAAATTTGTGTGTAAGTTGCTGGTGGAAATATATACATATTTGAATTTTTACAAGGCACATTATTCTGGTCATCACCTAGAAGACATTGCATTCATTTGAATAAAGCTTATGTTTGTTTCTGAAATACATTTAACACATACACAGAAAGAATTTAGCTATTGATTTTTGTGGTGTTGGAGATTGAATCAGAGCCTGTGTACCCCTGAAATACATCCGCCTAAAATGATATATGCAGATACTTTAACTCAGCTGTATGTTAGTTTCTTACAGGTCTTTGGTTACTGTGGTTCTTATCCATAACCATTTTGCATCTTTAATAGCAATGTTTTTACACTGCTCTGTGTGACCTGCTTTAGTCTCCCCGTCTCACTGTTTCTCTCATAGCTTCTCCTTTTCCTTAAATTTGCTTTGTACACAGCACCTGTATTCCTGGCACCCAGGAGTTACTTGTGGAAATACAAAACAGAACATGTGTGTAAAATTCTCTCATTTGAATCTAGAAGTGTAAAGGCAGAGCCACTCTGTGAGGGGATGGGTGTGTGTGCCCTGATGTCCTCCGGGCTTAATCACACTGAGGAAGGTTTTCAGTGTGAAGGAACAGACTCCAGGGTGCCACCACATAGAAGTTATGCAGAACACGGGGAAACACATGCTCTTTGGGAATGATCAGAATGCAGACTTCAGTGCAGCACATCGATGAGCATTTGCAAAAATAGAGACAGAGACAGAAAGAGAGCGAGACAGAGACATAGAGAGAGGAAGACAGACAGATCAAAACCCAAAGCCTCACAAGGACAGGGAGTAAATGCTGGAAGTAAAAATTCACAGATGGGATTCTTGAGTTACAATGGGACCAGATACACACGAGTCCTCCAGACAAACGCGGAACGGACAGAGGAGCTCTGTCTTCATTTCTTATGAAATGCTTAAAACCAGAAGCTCTTCGTCCGTTTTCTCTTCTGAATGGTTGGCTTATTCCTTTTGCCCACTTTTCTCCTGAGCTGTTCAGTCTGTAGACGCTGGACACTAAAAGCACAGTAGAACCGTTTCTCCTGGAAGCCTTTGTTGCTGCCCTTTGTCTCTGGTCCTGGGTTAAGGCGAGCGGGAAGGTTGCACAGCTGAGGAAGAGGCTTCCTGCTCCCGCCCTCCCAGGAGTCCCCTGAATCTTAACACCGTTTTAATCCCTCAGGTTCATTCCGTTCTGTGTGCTCTGTTGGTTGAGTGGATGTTTTATGCTTTTAAAATGTTTCTGTAGACAGAGGGCAAACCACAGCCCTCTGGAATGGAAAATGAATGGAAATTCATCTGATGGCAACAGCTTGCTGAATGTCTGTCCCTCTGTAATATGTAATATGTGCCCGGTGTGAGAAAACCGTGTTATTTACACAGGAGTCCTCACTGTGATTCCTGCATCTAAGCCTGATGTGCTCAGTGTGTGTGTGTGTGTGTGTGTGTGTGTGTGTGTGTGTGTGTGTGAACTAGTAACTCAGGAGTGAGTGCAGGCTTCCGAGGAGAGGGGCTGGTCCCCCCTTCACAACACAGAAGCCAGAACTGAAGGCAGCACAGGAGGTAACCAAGGGCGTATGTCAGAGCCTGGGGGATTTTGACTCTACCAATCAAAGCAAACATTACAGCAGCTGGAAAGAGAGCCGCCTCTTGTCCTGAACATTCAGCAGCAATAAGGCTGCACACTGTTCTGGGTGCCAGGAGTCAAAAGCAGGAGTTGGGTGCAGGAGTGAAGGCCTCAGGCACCCCAATAAACACCAGCACAGACCCACACCTGCGACCTTTTTCTCTCCCAGAGACGAGGTCTCGCTTGCAGCAGAGCTGGCCTCTCACCCTGGAATCAGTGACCTTTCCACTTCCACGTCCAGTGGAGGAGCAGACGCCTCTGCACACAGGTCAGTCCTCGTTCTGTGTCACAGGTGGCCCCTCTCACTCCCTGGTCACAGGGCTTCCTTGTTAGTGATGAGCTCCTGAGAGAAGCATCTTCTCCAGCGCCTTTGACCCTCTGCTCCTCCTGGGAGCAGTGCACAGCCCCCGAAGCCCTCCTGCTCCCCACCTGTCTTTCTGGGTGTTTCTGTGCAAATGTCACTTTGTCCCTGGTCTTCTGGGAATAATCAGCAAACACAGAACCCCACCAACTCTCCTTTCCATCTGTTTTCACCACATTTTCTACAATTGGATCTTGAAGCGTCCTGTAACCAACATGCATTACAGGGGTGATCCCCACGGTAGAGCTACTGGGAGGTGGTACAGTGGGTGGAGATGGGCTTCGGGAGAGGTCTTTATACTCCTAGGGGGGCACATCCTTGAAGGAGACTTCAGACCTGCAGCCCACTTTCCACTTTCTTTTCCCTCCTGCTCATGATGTGGTGTGGATATTCTCTCCCATTCACTCCTGCTGAGAATTCTGTGCTTCCCAGTGTTGTGGGGCCAGCGCGTCATTCAAAACCCTAGCCAGCATCATCTTCTCTCTTTACAAGCTGACTGTTCCTGGGAAAAGGTCAGGAAAACAGCACTTAGCATCATCAGACATAAGAGTTTTACAAAACTGTTTATACCCCGTCTATCATTTTACTGTAGAGATTTTGCTTTCCTTCATTGTTTTTTTAACCTTCTCTTATTTTGAAGGGAGTAAAATACAACAGGAAAAGACAGAATAAAGCCAATTGAGACAATGCAGTGAAATTGTTCCACAACTTTAGAGCAGGATACGGGGATAACAGGAATAGGTACCATAGTATATCTCCTTATCTTCACAATAGTTGTTCTTTCAATCAGGTACAACAAAATCATACCAAATACAGAACATTATAAAACCTATCAAAACAGAGTATTGAATAGAGCCATGCAATTAATCAAAACAAAGCAAAACACTGATAACAATATTTGCATTCAAAGAGATAATAGAAGGAAATCCCCCGTGTTTGCTGTATTGCATGTGGTCAACCTCCCAAGAGGTGCGCAGACCTCTGGCTCTTGTTTGCTAACCTGGCGGGGATGTTTGATTCTCAGCCCACACACCAGTAGGTTCACGGCTGCCTACCAGGGAGGCGAGCAGGTTCCTTTGTTTCCCAGCACCCTAAGTACCAACATAGTGTGGATCTTGGGAGACGCTGGCTGTTCTCTCCCTGGGGCATGCACCTCTTGCTGGAGCCATGGCTCCTTCATTGTTCATTGATTTTCGACACAATGCCTTGAACATGGGCCATTGTCAATTTATATTCCTCAAACATATGTTTTTTTCAATAAATTCTTACAATATTGACACTTTGCTCATGAGATAGAACTTCTTAATGAGACATTATACTGTAGCTGGAATCTGCTAAAGGGTAAAAATCTATGCAAAACACAGAAATTATTTTCCTGACTCTAGGAGATCTGGATGGAAGTGTAGCTCAGTAGCAAGAGCCCCTAACTTGCAAGTGAGAGGCCCTGAGTTCTACCCACCTTAGTGCAAAAAGGCTAACATTCATGTCAGGTGAGTCATGCATCCTTTGGTAATGCTGCTTTTCTCACTCCATTCTTATTTTGGAAGTTATACCCAAAGCATGGAACCAGGAAATGTTACGTGGCCTTCAGAATTTCTCCTTCTGGGACTCTCAGAGGACCCAGAGCTGCAGCCCCTCCTCTACGGGCTCTTCCTCTCCATGTACCTGACCACGGTGCTCGGGAACCTGCTCATCCTCCTGGCCATCGTCTCCGACCCCCACCTGCACACGCCCATGTACTTCTTCCTCTCCAACCTGTCCTCTGTGGATGTGGGCTTCACCTCCACCACTGTGCCCAAGATGCTGGTGAACACCCAGACCCACAGCCAGCTCATTTCCTACGCAGGCTGCATCACCCAGATGTACTTTTGGATGCTTTTTTCAGGGCTGGACATCTTTCTGCTGACGGTGATGGCCTATGACCGCTACGTGGCCATCTGCTACCCCCTGCACTACACGGTTATCATGCACCGCTGGCTCTGTTTGTTGTTGGTTCTAGCCTGCTGGATCATGGGTGTCCTGATTTCCCTGTTACACACCCTCATGGCTTTGCGTCTGTCCTTCTGCAGCCACTTGGAAATCCCACACTTCTTCTGTGAACTGGATCAGGTGGTCCACCGTGCCTGTTCTGACACCTTTCTCAATGACATGGCCATATATGTTACTGCAGTGCTGCTGGCTATCTGTCCCCTCGCTGGCATCCTGTTCTCTTACTCTAAGATAATTTCCTCCATACGTGCAGTTCCGTCAGCTCGGGGGAAGAACAAAGCGTTTTCCACCTGCACCTCTCACCTCTCGGTGGTCTCCCTGTTTTACTGCACGCTCCTGGGCGTGTACCTGAGTTCTGCTGTCACCCAAGACTGGCGCTCTACTGCAGTCCCCTCGCTGATGTACACCGTGGTCACCCCCATGCTGAACCCCTTCATCTACAGTCTGAGGAACGAAGACATCAAGAGAGCGCTGAGAGGACTTCTTGGGAGGGCAACGAGCAGAGGACCAGCTGGCCCACCTCGGTAGAAATGCTTCTCATTTCGGGCCTCAAATTTTGGAGTCAGAATTTTGATCCTTTGATCAGATTGTGCAAGACGTTTTTCCCTTTACCGCCTGTAATTTCCATTTCTTTGATGTAGTTCTCTAGATAATTTAATTAAATCACTTTATTAAGTGTTCTCTTCTTTCTAGTGCCTTTTATTACTCCCCCAAACTTGTTCCCCTTCTTGGATCGGAAGTGTTTGGAAATTCTCATGTCTGCCCTGGAACAAAGCAGACTGCTTATGAAAAATTGTTATACAATAGCGTATCATGTTCAATTTATATCTTTTGTGTTCTACAGCAACTTTGAAGGATTTTGCTGTTAGTAGAGGACAATTATACTTGGCAATTAAAGTCAGCTACAAATTTGAATAAATTGATTGATTCCATATGACTTTAGAGTCTGGAATGACCTCTAATATGACCAATAAATTTTTGAAGTCGGTGAGTGTATTGCTTTGGAAAATGATTTTGAGTCTGTATTCTGTTCCTTCCCGGTGTATTGTGAAGCATTGTCCAGGTGAAGAGAATTTAATAATCTGACTTCACAGTTGGTTGGTACACATTATTGTTACACTGAGTTACCTTCTTTGTTCTGTTGGTCAGAATGTCTAGATCTGAATACAGATACTGTCCCTCACTCTAAATGAGAACCCTCATCAATATTATCCTGTATATATTCTTTTTTTCCCCCTTTCCAGTGCTGGTGATCAAACCCAGGGCTTCATGCATGCTAGCAGTGCCCTGTCACTGAGCTAACCCCGGCCCTGTGCATCTCCTTTCCCCCAGGAATAGTCCAGTCTTTATGTTCTGGCTGACACAGGACTGTGTCTTCAGCCCAGTCGTGGGACTCAGAGTCACCCACTCCCTGTGCACACAGGCGTGTCCTTCCACCGTGTCTGGGGTGGAATCTCACTGCAGTCACCATGTAGTACAGTTACTTTAAATAAGCTGCATAGCAGGGTCATTATGAATCTTGTCACTAAATATACAAATAAATTTCAAGATTATTGGCGTATGGTTTTAATTATCCTCAGTTCCTTTTTCTTTTGATTATTGTATCACTTGACTATTGCTGTACAGGAAGCTGTGCTAAAATTCAGTAGTTAGGTGTGACACCATTTTCATCAAAAATGCAAGCGCACAGTTGGGGGCTCCTCTGACCACTGCTGGGCACCGCCCAAGTCTGAATCCAGGTGTGAGTTGCTACTTGGTGTTTTCAGGATCCTCCATGACATGGCAGGCAAATCTAGCGTTTCCCCTGAGCAAATGACTTCTGGCCAGTTTTTGACATTTCTGCACTGAGATTTGCTTTCAGGGCAGGCCTTCCCGGGATTCTGGTGCAGAGGTAAGTTTGGGGAGCCCTGTCCCAGGGCTTCGTTGCATCCCACACACTGTCCTTCCTTTTGCACAATCTCTGATGCCTGCTTTTGCAGTTTCTGTTCAAGGTCCACAAGAAGGAGAAGGCTCGAGACAGAAATTTGTGTGTATATACATATGAGAGCTAAGAGGAGTGCACCACAGACGGTGTTAGTTCTTGGAAGAGAACAGTTGGTGCTCCCAGGATTAGCCTTACTTTACGTGTCTGCATCTGGTAATCTAAGAACCCATTTGGAGGTCACAATATGCAATATTACACCTGTTATTAAATTCCCATCATCTGGATTTGAAAATCTATACTGTGACTGTTTAGGGTTTGTTGTTATTGTTGCTTGTCTGTTTTGCTTTTTGTCTCTCTTTTCCAAGTATTTTTTCTATTAAATATGTAAATGAGGAAACTTTAAACAGAGAAAAAGAATGAAAAGTTTCTAACTCAAGAAAAATCTTTCAAGGCTTTGGCTCAAGCCAGATCTCCAGAGAAACACCGTGTTACTTAACCAGTTTTCCATCTCAGTTTATTTAGGGTGCTCCTGCATGGGTTGTCAAACAAATCTGGGGTGTGTGTGAGTGTGGGTGTGATGGCCCCTGGGAACGTCTATGATTAGTCAGAATGTCACCTTAACACACATAATCAGTTTCAAAACACAATTAGTTGAATGTTCCAGGCAAAATTGTGCAGACAGGATGGATTGCGGTCTTTATGAACCTAGCATTGTTTGACCTTCATAAAGAAGGGAAAGTACTCAGTGTCCTAAAAGAAAGCGACTGGGAATATGAAGTAATCTCAGTGGAGGAGAAAAGGAGGTAATTCCCACAGTGCAGTGGCATCCAGAGGGAGCTGACGAGATGAAGGGCGGAGGGGGAGGTGCTCGGTTACTGCAGAAGTCTCCCTTCTACAGTTCTCATGTGTGCCATTTCCCTCTTTGCCTCCCCAAAACAGAAAAAGCGGTAACAATGGAATACCAGAAGTCACTGTTTTCTCAGTTGTCGAAATTCTGTTTATTTTATCGCCCAGTATTCTAACACAGATGAGATAAACAAGCTCCATCGTAAGGACCTGTATTGTACCACACTGTCTAGAAGGACACAAGGTACAACATCATTTTTAGTGGATGAAATCATTCACTTTTCCTTCTTTGCTTTAACTATAATAAAATATGTGAATATTAATTTAAACATAAGGTAGGTTAGTCTCTGTGTCTTAAAATATATAAAAGAAATAAGTTCAAAGGGGAAAAGAAAGATGTCGTAATCTCTATATGTCAAGAAAACCTTCGTGAATGTTTACTGTATCATTGATAATTCTTATTAAACTTTAATTTGGGGATCATTGTAGGTTAACATGCATATGTACAAACTAAGCCTGAGAGATCCATGAATGGTTTACTCAGTTTTCCCAACAGTAACATCTCATAACACTGTGGTACAATGTCACACCCAAGGTACAGACGCTGATTACAGTCACCACACAGGACAGCTCTGCAGAGAGGCTCAGCGCTGGCCTTTGGAGAGCCTCCCTGCCTTCTTCCCTTTCCTGTCCTTGACCTAAAAGAACCACCAATCCACTCCCTGTTCCCACACTGTTATGAGGGCAGAAATGTCATCTAGCATTCAAAGCCCTCTGCCCCAGAAAAATGGAGGAGTCGGTGTCTCTAGAGGCTTGTTTTGCTCATGGCTCTGGTCAGCGCTTTGGACATGGAGCTGAAAAACTAGCCAGGTCCTGAGTGTGAGAACCATGGGACGGTCAGATGGAAGGCAGAATTCTGGTGCTCCACTGCGCCCTGGGGTGACCACAGTCAGCAGTAAAGCACTGTATGTATCAAAATCGTTAGACAGAGGACCCTAGAACTAACTCACTATAAAGACATGATTAAGACTGAAAGTGACAGATATGTCAACAAGCCGGGCTCACCGCTCTTTAACATATGCATGAGTCATACGCCGTGTTGTCTCTCATAAATATGCATTGATACTATGTAGTGTTCTAAAACTAAAAAGTGTAAAGCCCCAAACGAGTACCCATACAATGCACTAACATGTTGAAGTCCACATTATCAAAAAGAGCAATTAAAGCCCTGATACACACAGGCATGACTCCCGAAGAAGCAAAGTACTGACCTCAGCTTTAGATAAATTGCACCAGTTTCCAAGGTAACTTTTTCCAGATGTGAAGCAAATCCCATCACGAGCTCTTCAGTAAAATGAAAGAAACATTATGCAATAAGAGATGCAATACAGGAAGAAGTTGCCTCTAAGACATCCTTGCTGATTACTCAGGTATGTGAGAATTTCCAAATACTTCTGGTGCAATGCTTGGAATAATGCTGGGAATCTGGAAAAGCAAAAGGAAAAAACCATGAGCTTTTAGAAAATCTGAAAGCACTAGTTGACTAAGTCACACGGGGACGTTGGAATTGTAGCAGTCGAAGTCCTGGGAGAAATACCTTGAGCGATTCCTGTGCTCATGATCTGATCCGTGAATCAGGTTTAGACTTGGAAGCTTCCAAAGTCCTGCAGCCAAGAGCATTGCTCAGGCTCTGGGCAGCATCTTCTTTTACAGGTTTTATTCAGAAAGTCTTTTCAGAGCTCTCTTGACATCCTTATTCCTCAAGCTGTAGATGAAGGGATTCAGCATGGGGCTGACCACAGTGTACATCTCCGAGGCTGTTGCACTTGAGTGTGAGCTCCTGTGTGCAGAGCTAAGGTACACACCTAGACCTGAGCAATAACATAAGGAGACCACTGCGAGGTGAGATGTGCAGGTGGAAAAGGCTTTATGCCCCCCTGAGCTGAAGTGACAGCACATATGGAGGAGACGATCTTAGGGTAAGAGTACAGGATGCCAGCCGGGGAGCCAGTCCCCAACAGCACAGGTACCAAGTGCACCACAAGGTCACTGAGAACATTCTCAGCACAGGCAAGCTGGGCCACCTGGTTGAGTTCACAGGAGAAGTGTGGGACTTCCAGCTCTGTGCAGAAGGACAGATGCAGCACCACGAGGCTTTTCCATGAGGTGTGCAAGAAGCTCGCCATCCAGGACACCAGCACCAGCACCACACAGAGCAATGGGTGCATGACGACCGTGTAACTCAGGGGATGACAGATGGCTACGAACCTGTAATAGCCATGACACCCAGGAAGAAGTTGTCCAGCTCTGCAAAGAGAAATACAAAGTATATCTGGGCGATGCAACCTGCATAGGTAATGACCTGGCTGTGGGTCTGGATGCTCACCAACGTTCTGGGCACATGGGTGCACATGAAGCTGATGTCCACAGAGGACAGGTTGGAGAGGAAGAAGGATATGGGCATATACAGTTGAGGTTTGGAGATGATGGCCAGGAGGATGAGCAGGTTCCCGAGCACTGTGGTCAGGAACCCGGAGAGAAAGAGCCCACAGATGAGGGGCTGCAGCTCTGGGTCCTCTGAGTGCCCCAGAAGAAGAAATTCTGAAATTCTGGTGCTGTTTCCTGCTTCCTCATTGGGGATGCAATACTGTAAATACAAATCGACTTAGTAGGTGCCGTTGCGTGGATGGGTGGTAGTTTCAGGGAAAGCAGGTCGCATCAGTGCTCTGTACACAGATGCATGCTACCCGTATAGTTGAAGTGCTCTTATTTACATGCTTGTGTTTACAGATAATTCTTATGCTTTGATATCTCATACCCACAGGATTTGGAATTTCTGCTCTGCTCTACACCTTTTCCTGTGAGGTCATGCGTTTCACAGTTTTAATGAGAAAGTACTTGTTACATTTGTGTACTGGCCATGTTCAGACCCCTGTCTGTACAATGATTCACTCCCGCAGATGAAGAAACATTCCTACTTCCCAGTCATGGACACAGAATCCAGGGAGAGAAGAAAACCACATGTCTATGACCTGTTTTCCTTGAAACTATCACCAATCCACACAATGGCACATACTAAGTGGACTTTTATTATCAATTACACCTCAGTAAAACCGCTTGAAAAAGAAATAGTCACAGAAGACCCCACGGGGTGAACACATCATGAAAACAAGGTATGGATAGGAGGTGTGTGTACGTGTGTGTGTCTGTGT